CGGGGGACTTGGCAGCCCTAGTTCTGATAAGTAACCATTCGGTTTTTCTGCTTTCATGCCGTTTTTCTGCGCCGTAGCTCCAATTTTACCCTATATGGATTTGTATTTTCTGATCTATATTTAATCTGATTTCCTATTGTGTGTATATACATATGCCAATAACGGCTTGTCAAAGTAAAGAAATAGTTAACTTGCCACCCTCCAACAAATTCAATAGCATCTGAAGTCCCTTCCCCAGCCAGTTCTTCATAAGAAATGAAAACATGGGAACAAATTTTCGGCCCCTTGCATCGTTTAGACCTACATAATAGGATGCAAGAGCCCTTTCCAAAATCCTTTCTGACTGCCACTCTTCTATGGAGCACCATGCTGGAGCAATTTGGCTAATTGGGGGGGGGGAGTTTGAAGGCATAGAAAAAAGGTGGTGGAGTCTTAAGTCCTCAGGAAAAGCTTACAGGAAATAATGTACATTTTTATGGCAATATCAGGCTCTGGCCTTCTATCCCAAATCTGGAACCTATTAAAGAACGAAGGCCGGCATCTGCCACCAATTAGTGCAAAGGAAGGAATGCACAAAATCAACACCGTTGCGGCTTTAAATCCGAACCGGTGTGCATCTCTTTCCCTCAGCCTTGACTTCTTTCAGATCCTTGCGTTTGCGTCTGTTTGTTTAGAGCATCTCGAGTCGAGTTCAAACATAGCGGCTCGTGAGCAGAGCGGCTCCGAGTGCAGGGATCTCCCAAAGGCCCCAACAGGATCTGAAGATTTTGGCAATGGGGCAAAAATTCAGTCTGTGCAAGACTAAGGTCCCTAATGCATGCTTACACTGGGCTTGGCAGCTCAGCGCTTGGAAATACTGGGAGACTTTGGGGTTGGAGCCTGAGGAAGGTGGGGTTTAGGGAGGGGAAGGACTTCAGTGGGGGATAACGCCATAGAGTCCACCTTCCAAAGTAGCCATTTTTTCCTGATGAACTGAACGCTGTCACCTGGAGATCAGTTCAGTGTTCCCTCTAAGCTGTGTTAGTGTGAGCTAGCTCACAGTTTTCTAGCCTCCGGCTCACACATTTTTTGTCGTAGCTCAGGAAGGAGGGCTCCAGAGCAAACTCATTTGTGCAGTACAGAGGTCATTTCGGGGGGGATCGCGGGGGATCGCAGTTCCCCTGGGTGAGGTATGGGGGCGGGGCACATGACGAAGCCCCGCCCCCTGCTTCTGGCCGCCCCGCTTCCGGCCCTCATTCAGCCAGGAGGAGGCAGGAGAAGAGGGAGGGTAAGTTGCTTCCTCCCTGCCTCTCCCCACCCCTGCCTGCCTGGGGCCAGGGAGGGCCTTCGCGGGGCTTCCTTGCACTCCCGCCGGCCTTGCAGGTCCACCGCCGGGCCCCTCATGGGGCTCGGCAGTGGAGCTGCAAGGCCGGCGGCGGCCGGGACCATTGGGGGCGGGGTGTGTGGCCTTATGACACACTTCCGGTGATGTCAGGGGGTGTGGCATATGCTAATGAGTTATGCTAATGAGTCCCCCTAGCTCTTTTTCTACGAAACGACCCCTGGTGCAGTAGCCCAGCGGTCACTCACAACCTTAATGCCAGTAGCTCACAAAGTAGAAGGTTTGCTCACGAGACTCCACAGCTTAGAGGGAGCATCCCAGGAGATCTCAAAGGAACATAAGAGAAGCCAATGTTGGATCAGTCCAGTGGCCCATCTAGTCCCCCCCCCCCAAGCACCAAGAATACAGAGCATCCCTTGCCCCAGACCGAGAGTCCCTATCTATACCTTGTGGCTAATAGCCCCTGATGGACCTCTGCTCCATATGGTTATCTAATTCCTTCTTGAAGCTGTCCATGCATGCTACCACCTGGAGGCTGACAGCCCTAGCTTTCACTGCATCAAATATGATCTCCTTTTGATATTTGAAAGGAAAGCCTTTGATGCAGCGGAACTGTTCCTTCCACCTCTCAGAAGAGGGGGTTTACCACAACTCACGGGAGGACATACACCACAGTGCCCTGCCCAGCTGGACATTCATGCGTGGAGGGATGCACAAGGGGCATTTAGACCCGGGGGGGGGACACCACCCCAGTGTTTCATCAGCTGCAGCTCTATACAGTTTTAGAAATGCTTCTAGCATAAACCTAGAATCGAGGAGGAATGGAACACAAAGCAGTGTGAGATTCCAGAGCCATGAAAAGCAGCACAACAGAAGAAGTCCGTTAGGATGAACGGTGTCCCCAAATCTCTCCAGAATAAAAATCTAGAATCACCACTTTGGTCTGCCCAAAGGTCAGAGTGGTAACATTCAGTCATATCTGGCATTTCCAAAGGGTTTGAAGGAATGTCTCTCACATACAGGTAAGCAGAGGTCATTTGGGGGGGGGATCATGGGGGATCGCAGTTCCCCCGGGTGAGGTACGGGGGGCGGGGCACATGATGAAGCCCCGCCCCCTGCTTCCAGCCGCCCCGCTTCCGGCCCTCATTCAGCCAGGAGGAGGCAGGAGAAGAGGGAGGGTAAGTTGCTTCCTCCCTGCCTCTCCCCACCCCTGCCTGCCTGGGGCCAGGGAGGGCCTTCGCGGGGCTTCCTCGCACTCCCGCCGGCCATGCAGGTCCACCGCCGGGCCTCTCATGAGGCTCAGCAGTGGAGCTGCAAGGCCGGCGGCGGCGGCCAGGACCGTTGGGGGCGGGGTGTGTGGCCTTATGACACACTTCCGGTGATGTCAGGGGTGTGGCCTTATGACACACTTCCGGTGATGTCAGGGGGTGTGGCATATGCTAATGAGTTATGCTAATGAGTTCCCCTAGCTCTTTTTCTACGAAACGACCCCTGCAGGTAAGCATTGCATCAAGGCCCAGATCAGAATACCTCACAGTGTCTGAAGCAGACTAGGATGCTAACTTTCCTCTACGTTTATAAAGTCAGCTACAGTTTCATTTACCCATGGGGAAAACAGTGATTTCTCAACAACTTATAAAAGCAGAGGGGTTCCTTCACCTCAGGATCCTCACTCGTAACCCAGTAAAGTTTTGGTCAGTCGGCACTTTGGATAAGGTCCTTACCCTGCGTGCAGTTCTCCCCGTGGTAGCCCGCCGCACATTCTGTCCGACACTCTCCGCTCACGTGGTCACAAGGAGCCCCAGAAGGACAATCGCATTTGCTCCTGCACCCGGCACCATAACGGCCTGGATCGCACTCTGAAAATAATGATGAGAAAGAAATGGCAGCATCAGTTTTTCAGTCCCGGGCTGACCAGTCAGAGAAGAGGCTGTCTAGATCAGTGCTTCATGTATAGAACGCTGCAGGTTTGGTTCCCAGCACCGACAATTTTTACAAGATTCTCTTGTAGCAAGGCCAAGAAAGGGACTGCTGGCTGAAGTCTTACAGACCTACTGCCAATCATATTAGACAGCGCACTGGAGGAGGAGGAGGAGGAGGAGGGATTTATACCCTGCCCTTCACTACCCGAAGGAGTCTCAGAAAGGCTTACAATCCCTTTCTCTTGCCCTCCCCACAACAGACACCTGTGAGGTAGGTGGGACTGAGAGCTGTTTTGAGGACTGCTCATGAGAGAACAGCTCTGAAATAACTTGTGACTGACCCAAGGTCACACCAGGAGCTGCATGTGGAGGAGTGGGGAATCAAACGCAGTTCTCCCAGATTACAGTCCGCACTCCTAACCACTACACCAAACTGGCTCTAATATAGTCTAACTGAAGCAGTGTTCCCTCTAAGCTGAGCTAGTGTGAGTTAGCTCACAGTTTCTTAGCCTCCGACTCACACATTTTTGCCTTCGCTCAGGAAGGGATGGCTCCAGAGCACAAAGTAGAATATTTGCTCACAAGACTCCAGTTTACAGGGAGCACTGAACTGAAGTTGTATGCATGCACATCAAAACTTAAGGGTGCCGCTGGACTCAGACTTTGTTTTGGTAGAAGACCGTTACAAGTGTCCATATTACTGATGAACGTGCTTTGCATGTAGAAGGTACCAGGTTCAGTTCCTGGCATCTTCAATTGCAGGTTTTCAGACAGCAGATTTTGGGACAGATTTCTGTCTGAGAGTGTGAAGACTTTTAGAGCACTGGCCCAGGTGGCATCACAAAAGGATCCAAAGACATTATTTGCCTTGATCAGGGGTCATTTCGTAGAAAAAGAGGTGCAGGAGCTCATTAGCATAACTCATTAGCATAACTTATTTGCATATGCCACACCCCCTGACCTCACCGGAAGTGTGTCAGAAGGCAACACCCACCGCTCAGGCTCCACTGGACTGTTTTCGATTGCTAGCTATTGGGGGGGGGACGTGCAGATCTGTCCTGGCAAAGGAGGGAGAGCTTGTACCTGAATAAACCTTGGTCTTAAAGGTACCATTGGACTGTTTTGGACTGGGGGGGCCGGGGGGGCTCTGCAACTTACCTGGCTGCTTCTTGGTCTGACTGAGGGCTGCTGGGAGCAGGGGGTGGGGCTTGTTGCATGTGCCCACCCCCTGGGCTCTTTACTGCCGGAGCTCCGCTCCTGTGCGCTCCTGCAGGAAATGACCCCTGGCCTTGATGTCCCAGTTTCAAGGCCTGTGAGCAGTCGAGGGACTCCAGATAGCCAGATGAATTAACTGGCTGACTCAGATTATCATACACTTCCAAAGACTGCTGCCAACCTCCAGTTGGGGCCCAGCGGTCTCCTGGAATTGCAACAGATCTCTGGACTACAGAGATCAGTTCCGTGGAGAAAACAGCTGCTTTGGAGGATGGACTCTACGGCTTCACATCCCTGCGGAGCTCCCTCTTCTCCCCAAACCACACCCTCCCCAGGCTCCACCCCCAAATCTCCGGAGTTCCCCGATCCTACTGCTGGAGCCGGGGTGGGTGAAGCACAACAAAAGCTACGAGAATGAGCTGTAATCTGAAACGGCTCCAATTTAAATGACTGCATAACCTCACTATCAGGATGTGGGCCAAGTCACTCTCTCTCTCTCTGGGCCTAAGCCTCCCCACCACTGCCCATCTGGGGATGAGGATACTGGACTACTTTGCAGGAGTGTTGTAAGGAATGCAGCGAATTAATGCACATGAATCACTCAATCAGGGACCATTTCCTGCAGGAGCGCACAGGAGCGGAGCTCCGGCAGTAAGGAGCCCAGGGGGTGGGCACATGCAGCAAGCCCCACCCCCTGCTCCCAGCAGCCCTCAGTCAGGCCACAAGGAGCAAGAAGCAACCAGGTAAGTTGTAGAGCCTCCCCCCTTTCAGGTACAAGCTCTCCCTCCTCTGCAAGGGCAGATCTGCACATCCCCCCCCCCATACCTAGCAATCCAAAACAGTCCAGTGGAGCCTGAGCAGTGAGTGTTGCCTTCTGACACACTTCCAGTGATGTCAGGGGGTGAGGCATATGCAAACAAGTTATGCTAATAAGTTATGCTAATGAGCTCCTGCACCTCTTTTTCTACAAAATGACCCCTGCACTCAATCACTGAACGGGTTAGAATGGATAAAAGGAAGTACTTCTTCACCCAAACAGTGATTAACACATGGAATTCACTGCCACAGGAAGTGGTGGCGGCGACAAGCATGGACGGCTTCAAAAGGGAATTAGGCATATAAAGCAGAGGTCCATCAGTGGCTATTAGCCACAAGGTATAGATAGGAGCTCTGGGGCAAGTGATGCTGTGACTTCTTGGTGCCTGGGGGGGGGGGGGCCAACAGTGGGAGGGCTTCTAATGTCCTGGCCCCACTGGTTGTCCTCCTGATGGCACCTGGTATTTTTGGCCACTGTGTGACACAGAGTGTTGGACTGGATGGGCCTTTGGCCTGATCCAACATTGGCGTCTCTTATGTTCTTATGTAACGTGGTATACAAAATATACGGTCTATGGCCACTACCCTTGGATCCAAGCACCTGATTCGGAGGAGCAACTCACTTGTCTGGCACTTTCCACCATGGTAGCCAGGTTTGCACAAGCAGGTGCCATCTTTCTTGTCACACTCCCGGGTGTTCTGCTGCAGGCACTGGCATTCCTCGGAGCAGCCAGCACCGTAGGCCCACTTTGGACAGGCTAAGATGAGGGAGGGAGCGGGGAGAAACAGTAGAAGTGTCAGCGGGCTGAAGAAAGAGATCCCGTTTTGCAAACAAAGGAGAGCCACAAAAGCCAAGAGGGCTCCCCATACCCCTGCCTCCTCCCTGGACGAATGGCCGAACTGGTTTACCTAGATGACAGTATCGCCCGTACAGGCCAAGGTCACAGAGGCAGGCCCCATAAATCCGGTGGCAGCGGCCCCTGTTGGCACAGTTGCATCTCTTCCTGCAGTGCTTCCCAAAAAATCCTTTCGGGCATCCTGAAAAGAGGAAGTCACATCGGCTTGGCGTACGGGTGGGCAAAACCGGAAAGGTACCCATTCCAGAGTTTGTGACAGGCCTACCGGCACTGCGAACTTGGTAAATAATGTGCTTGGGAGGTGAAGTTTACCCTTCTGATACCGTTCATTTTCTCTCTAGGTCAAGAAACGCTGTTGTTTGACCCTAGCACCAGGCATTCAGGGGTATACCGCATTTGTACACTGAGGTTCCATTTAGATAAGATGGTTAATAGACAGTGGTAGACTTACCCTTCATGAATTCCATTTAATCTCTCTTTAAAGCTATTTTATCGCAGCAGCCCTCATTGGATCTGGTGGCAGCAAAATCCATATACTAATTACGCCGTGCGTAAAAGGCTTTCTTCTAAATCTACTGCCTATCAATTTTTCTAGAAGTTTCTCTAGGTAAAGTAAAGGTAAAGGTTCCCTTGCTCGAAAGCCAGTCGAGTCTGACTCTACGGTTGTGGTGCTCATCTCCGTTTCAAAGCCAAAGAGCCAGCGCTGTCCGAAGACGTTTCCGTGGTCATGTGGCCGGCATGACTCAACACCAAGGCGCACGGAACGCTGTTACCTTCCCACCGAAGTGGTACCTATTTATCTACTTGCAATTTCTTGCTTTCGAACTGCTAGGTTGGCAGGAGCTGGAACTAGAGAAGGGAGCTCACTCCGTCTTGCAGCACCCGGGTCTCGAACTGCTGAACTAACGACCTTCCACAGCCTGCAGTTCAGCGTCTTAACCACTTGAGCCACCGCAGCTCCAGTTTCTCTAAAATGTACATAATTCCACAGACCACTATCGCATGTCCCCCCCCCTTAACTAAACTTTTCTAAACTAAAAAGTCTCAAATGCTGTAACCTTTTCTCAAGAATTTTCCCTCAGAATTCAGCGTCAGCATTCAAGAACACAGAAATATCTGCAGGGGAATGCAGGAGCCCCCCCCCCCAACATTCCTATAAATAACCCCACCTGACAACTTACAAGGGCTAGTTGAACTGTTAAAGGAACAAAACCGTTGCCAATCCATGCACATTACAATGTGCTCACGTTACACAAATGCAGCACGGGCCAAATCCATGGTGTCAGCAGAGTGTTGTTGGCCACCACAAGCAAAGCAGGCGAAGCCTTCTTCTTCTATCTGATAAGAACATCAGAGGGCCTGGGAGAAGGAAGACTCTTCCGGGCCAGCCAGCGAGGTTTTAATTTTGTCTGTCTAAACACTACCTTCCTGTACATTCTTACCAGCTCCCCACCCCCCACCCCCCTATACACAGATGCCTTCATAAGGCAAAAAAACAACCTTTGAAACTTCAACTGCCTTTTGAACTCCTTTTTACTTTGATTGAATTGCATTTCCCATCAAATCAGTTCCATGTGTTCCTAACCACTTGTGTGAAGTCACCATAATGGGTTTTGTAATTTACCTCACGTTCAGTGTTCCCTCTAAGCTGAGTTAGTGTGAGCCAGCTCACAGTTTTTTAGCCTCCAACTCACACGTTTTTCCTAGCTCACAGAGCACACTAATTTATGCAGTAGCCAAACTGCTCGCTCCCAACTTTAATGCCAGTAGCTCACGAAGTAGAATGTTTGCTCACAAGACTCCACAGCTTAGAGGGAGCGTTGGAGGAGGAAGAGGAGGTTGGATTTATACCCCGCCCTTCACTCGGAGTCTCAGAGCAGCTTACAAACTCCTCTCCCTTCTCCTCTCCACAACAGACACCCTGTGAGGTAGGTGGGGCTGAGAGAGCTTTGACAGAAACTGCTCTTTTCAAGAACAGCTCTGACAGAACTATGGCTTGCCCAAGGTCATCCAGCAGCTGTGAGTGGAGGAGTGGGGAATCAAACCCGGTTCTCCCAAAATAGAGTCCACGCACTTAACCACTATACCGAACTGGCTCTCACACAAAACACTGCTCATGTTTCCAAAGTTTTGGGAACCACGTCCAAAGATGGTGACTCCCAAGAGCGGGGGCAGGGAAGAAGAAGGAGAAGAAGAAGAAGAGATTGGATTTATACCCCGCCCTTCACTTGGAGTCTCAGAGCAGTTTACAAGCTCCTTTCCCTTCCCCTCCCCACAACAGACACCCTATAAGGTGGGTGGGGCTGAGAGAGCTCTGACAGAAACTGCTCTTTCAGAAACAGCTGTGCCAGAGCTTGTGACTGACCCAAGGTCACATCAGCAGGTGCAAGTGGAGGAGTGGGGAATCAAACCCAGTTCTCCCAGATTAGAGTCTGCACATTTAACCACTACACCAAACCACTCTCATAACTGGAAACTTTGCTAACTGCCACTTCATAGCACACACACACAAAAAATTGAACTGATAGGATTGTCTGTGGATAAAGAACCCAGAGATTTGGGTGAAGATGGCTGCTCAGCCTTGAGAGCATAATTAGCAGCATCAGGCAAGATGCATTTGCCCATGGTTCTTAACTGTTGAACTTTCAATCCTGGCTCCATACAACAGTCACATAACGCCAACTTGTATTTTATGTGGCCTTTATAAATGAGTATTGTCCCAATGTTCTCTACAGCAAGCATACCGAGTCAGAATTCTGCAGCTGAAAGGTATAGGCTATGTGATTCAACCCTGTGTCTAGCATAGGTTTGTCAAGCACAGCAACCAGCAGGAGTGGGGGGGGGGGGGCAGGAAAATGGCAAGGGAGGGTGGCATTGCTCATGTGATGATGTCACTTCCAGGGAATACACAGAAACAATGGCAGTAGCTCTAGGAATCGTATGTGGAGTGGTAACTCTATAGTAAAACCAAGATCTCTAGATTCCTAGAGCTACCGCCATCGCTTCCAGATGTTCCACGGAAGCGATATCATCTTGGGGGCAAAAATAATCCGTCTTTAATTTTTTAAAACTTTCATTGTAATTTTCTATTGCTGCCGCTCCATGCAGTGGCAACAAATGGGAATTCCCTGCCCCAGCCAGTGGCTTGGCAGCCCTAATCTAGCATGATGCAAGGGACCCAAAGCTAGAGTGTCCCTGACAGATGGGAGCTCTGCTTCTGTAACTGCCCACCAACCCCCGAGGTAGTAGATTTCATCATCAAACCACTCTCATAACTGGGAAGTTTCTCTTAATATTTGAACATTGAAGACCATTCAATCTAATAATGTTCTCCCAAAGAGATTATAAATCAAACAGCCTTCCAGATCCCTGATCCCTTGGCCTTCCGGGGATAGGTAAAGGGGGATCCCCTTCACGGCTAGTGGCACACAATAAATCACAGTCTTACCATCCTCGCACAGCTCTCCAGTGACTCCGGGTGGGCAGCGGCAGGCCCCTGTTACCGGATCGCACGTGCCTCCATTTTGGCAGAGGCAGGTGAAGTTGCAGTTCTTGCCAAACGTGCCCTCTGGACAGGCTGTAAAAAAGGGGAAACACTACAGATGAAGAGTACTAAGGCTTGCGAGAAAGGCGCTACGAGCCAAAGAGGAGGAGAGAGGAAAGGCCTTGATGGATGAGATCAAAGCATGGGTAGTAGCAGGGCTATTTTTGGGCAGGAAAGCTCAGGAACGGAGTTCCAGCAGGCTCCTGAGTTGGCCACGCCCAGCAGGGACTCATTAGTATAATAGCCCACACCCAACAGCAGAAACTCATTAGGATTGGCTACATTAGGGGTGTGTGGCCTAACATGCAAAGGAGTTCCTGCTACAAAAAAAGGCCCTGGGTTTTGACAACAAACAAGGTAAACAGAATAAGAAGCAAAAGGTGGGTGTGGCTGGATGACCACACTTCTGGTAGCACGGGAGTGTGGCCTAATATGCTAATGACCTGTGCTGTCAGGGGTGTGCCCTAATAGGCTAATGAGTTCCTGCTGTTGGGTGTGGCCAATTATGCTAATGAGTTCCTGCTGGGCTTTTTCTACAAAAAGAGCCCTGGGTAGTAGCCAGCCTGGGAGATCACACGCAGGGGAGTGATGACTTTTCCCTTGTTGGTTGTCAGTCACACCTATCACTTAGAGTTAGCTTCTAAATATTCTTGGCTTTCACGACTAATGCTTATGGTGTACGATCCATGTCCTCTTGATGTCTGTGATCACAGGGGGAAAAAAATATTGTATAAATGTCTAGAAGATTGCATATGTAGTGCAGTGCCTTACTCCAGGTTTAGGACTAACAGACAGGTTTGTGACAGGTTTAGGACTGACAGATTTGCTTTGGTAAAAAGCTTCCATGGGTTGGAAGCCAGCAGATCCATGAGCTGTGTGAGACCGAAAATCCACCTCTTCCATATCTCATCTTGTTATGAATTCACTAGGTAGCCTTATGCTAGATGTTACCTGCAGGATGAGGGTACACAGACCAACTTTATAGCGCTTTTGTAAAAATGAATGAAATAGTGGGTCACTTAAAACCTCAAGGAGGGAGCATGGCTCAGTGGTATAGCACGTACTTTTCAGGCAGAAGGTTCCAGGTTCAGTCTTCAGCATCTCCACTTAAGAAATCTTCTTGGGTAGCAAGACCCTGCTCTGCCTGCGAAAAGCTGTGGAGGGCTTGTGATTCAGTGGATCGGTGACAGAGCATCTGCTTGGAATACAGAATGTCCCCAGTTCGATCCCCAGCATCTTGAGTTAAAAGGACCAGGTGATGAGATAGATTTCTGCCTGAGACCCTGAAGAGCAGCTGCCAGTCTGGGTAGATGATACTGACCTCGATGGACCGATGGTCAGATTCAGTATACAGCAACTTCACATGTTCATGAGCAGCCAATCAGAGTAGACTGTATTGCGCTGGGGGACCAAGGGCTTAATATAAGGCAACCTCATATGTTTACACATTCAATTATAATAAACACAGTCAGAGGTCATTTCGGGGGGGATCGCAGTTCCCCCGGGTGAGGTACAGGGGGGTGGGGCACATGACGAAGCCCCGCCCCCTGCTTCCGGCCGCCCCGCTTCCGGCCCTCATTCAGCCAGGAGGAGGCAGGAGAAGAGGGAGGGTAAGTTGCTTCCTCCCTGCCTCTCCCCACCCCTGCCTGCCTGGGGCCAGGGAGGGCCTTCGCAGGGCTTCCTTGCACTCCCGCCGGCCTTGCAGGTCCACCGCCGGGCCCCTCATGGGGCCCGGCAGTGGAGCTGCAAGGCCTGCTAATAAGTTATGCTAATGAGTTCCCCTAGCTCTTTTTCTACGAAACGACCCCTGAACACAGTTAATATGATTGCTTGAAAGCAAGTCACTCTATTAACCATGGGAAGCCTGTCACACCAGGAGCAGAAATCCTAGTGAATGCTTGATCCTAGTGAATGCTTGGATCCTAGGCCTGGCCCAGATATATCGCTAGGCCTATCGGCGCGAGGGATGATGATTGGATGAATAACGCGGATTGAGATCTGGAAGCACGCCATCTAATCTTCAGTACTGTATACACTTTACTGTTAATTGTTAATTTATGTTATGACTGAGTATGTTTTATGTGGTTCTATATAGTTTTAAGACTTTTATGGGTATGCCAATTAGGTACACTGTACCGCTTTGTTAGCCGCCCTGAGCCTGCTCGCAGGATGGGCGGGGTATAAATAAATAAATCATAGTATGAAGTGGGCTTATTAACCATAGTTACTCTTGATTATGGTACCACATGATGTATGACTGACATGACGGCAATGTATGAGTGAAGATAATAAAACCAGCATTTGCGGAAGCAAACTAGGATTTGAGTAATCGTCTGCAATTAGAATAAAACACAGTTCTAACTTGCCTGAACTGAGGCTATGCATCTGAAGGCCAAGGAATTTTCAGAGAGTGTTATATTATTATCTGTCTTTAAAAAGAACAATGACTGATATGGCATTCCCCCCCAAAAAAAGAAAAAACCAGAAAGAAAAGCACCGAATACAGTGCAATGCTGCATAAATCTAAACCATGCCGAATTTTCAAAATTTCAGATTTTAAAGGCAGGAAAGGAGATTGTGAGGAAAGCTAGATTCAGAGAACAGAAGCCTCTCTCTCTTTTTCTCTCTCTTCCAAAATGGAAGATCAATTAATAAGGGGAGGAGGGGGCGTGAGTCAACTCTGCCTACAGATCAAATCGGTCTTAGAGAGGGGGGGGGAAACCCTCTTCTCTCAGGCTGCCAACAGCTTTCGGGCCAGACACTGAGCTGGAAGAGAGACTCCCAAAGATTCCCATTAGTGCCTTAAATAGTTCATTAGCCTTTAGGCACGAGGTGTTTCTAATTCACCACCGATAGGTTTATAACTTGAGCCTGAATGTAAAAAGCTCAGATCTAACGCCAGATCGGCACACACGTGAACGTCCAGATCTGCAGACTGGATTCCCAGAGGCAGATAGAGTAACAAGCTTCGCATGGCTTTATTGGGGATTCTGTCTGGTAACTGCAGCCTTGGTTCATTCCAAGAAAAACATGGCAGAACACGGGCTGTGGGCCAACGGAGACACGTCATGATCTCCAGTGCTATTTTAAGCCAGTCGGGCCCTTGATGCTTCTTTCTTGAGTAGGCTCTTGGAAGGAAATACTGCAATGGGTTATAAAATATGGCACCTCCCGGTCCTGGGCTTCGGGTGTTCAACTCAACTCACTCTGGTTGCAGAGGATTCCACTCCAACCATCTGCACAGTCACAGCCTGTCCGGTCCTCGATGCATACCCCTCCATTCTGACAGTCGTCGCAGGTTAGGCTACAGTCGTGGCCAAAAGTGTCATCCAAGCAGACTACAAGACATCAAAGGGCACATTACCGAGAGCACCTCAAGGACAGCTATACACGGTGCTTAAATTTGCCGATCTTCCCCACTGTCTCTGAATGTAAGCCAGGCCTAAGCCCCAACCTAGTGGAACGAGCTCCCGCTAGAGATCAGGGCCCTGCGGGACCTTTTACGGTTCTGCAGGGCCTGTAAGACGGAGCTCTTCCGCCAGGCTTTTGGGTCAGGCAGGGGATGTCAAATACCATCTGGCCCCTCCTGTTTCCATTTTGTTACCACCGTTATCTAGCCAGTTTGGTGTAGTGGTTAAGTGTGCGAACTCTAATCTGGGAGAACCGGGTTTGATTCCCCACTCCTCCGCTTGCACCTGCTGGATGACCTTGGGCACGCCATAGTTCTGGCACAGCTGTTCTTGAAAAAGAGCAGTTTCTGTCAGAGTTCTCTGAGCCCCACCTACCTCACAGGGTGTCTGTTGTGGGGAGGGAAAGGAGTTTGTAAGCCACTCTGAGACTCCTCTGGGTAGTGAAGGGCGGGGTATAAATCCAATCTCTTCTTCTTCTACTACTACTATTATAAGGTCTTCAATTTTCAAGGACTCTGAACAACAGCCCTGCCTTGGTTTAGCCAAGGTTAGCGTATCTTTCATCTGGGATCCCTTATGGGATTTAGCCTTCTCAGCTTATAACTGAATAATAACAGGACACCATGGAAATAGCTTGAAGTAGTTTGAACGCCATTATTTCAGGGGTCCAGATTCTGTCGTTTTTAAAGTCTGGTTTTATTGTTCTATAACCAGTGTTGTAACCCACCCTGAGCCCGTTTGCAGAAAGGGTAGGATAGAAATTGAACCAAATAAATAAATAAATGTCAACCAAGAAGAAGAAGAAGAAGAAGAAGAGAAGAAGAGATTGGATTTATACCCCGCCCTTCACTTGGAGTCTCAGAGCGGCTTACAAACTCCTTTCCCTTCCCCTCCCCACAACAGACACCCTGTGAGGTGGGTAGGGCTGAGAGAACTCTGACACAAACGGCTCTTTCAGGAACAGCTGTGCCAGAGCTTGTGACTGACCCAAGGTCACATCAGCAGGTGCAAGTGGAGGAGTGGGGAATCACACCCGGTTCTCCCAGATTAGAGTCCGCACACCTAACCATTACACCAAACCAAGAAGTAAGTCCGGCTTCACTTCAGTAGGCTTTACTGTCTGTTATTTGTGCTTAGGACGGCAGCCACAGGTTCTGTTCAGAAATCATGCAAAATCAGTTTAAGTAAACTAACTATGGAAAAAAGTTAGCAGCCAGTGGCACCTTTCCCACAAAGTTTAATTCTGGGTATACGCTTTTGTGTGCATGCACACTTCATCAGAGCGTGCTTGCACACAAAAGCTTATCTGAACCGAGTCATGATGTGGACCTGCAATGGAAACACAATGCTGGTGATTTGCATGGAAAACTGCATGTTTTGGTTTTGCTTTTTGGTTTTGCAACCAGGGCTATTTTGGGGCAGGAACGCACAGGAACAGAGTTCCGGCTGGCTCCTGAGTTGGCCACACCCAGCAGGAACTCATTAGCATAATAGGCCACACCCAACAGCAGAAACTCATTCGGATTGGCTACAGTAGGCGTGTGTGGCCTAACATGCAAAGGAGTCCCTGCTACAAAAAAGGCCCTGGGTTTTGACAACAAACGAGGTAAACAGAATAAGAAGCAAAAGGTGGGTGTGGCTGGATGACCACACTTCTGGCAACACGGGGCTGTGGCCTAATATGCTAATGAGCTGTGGTGTCATGGTGTGGCCTAATATGCTAATGAGTTTCAGCTGTTGGGTGTGGCCTATTATGCTAATTAGTTCCTGCTGGGTTTTTTCTACAAAAAAAGCCCTGTTTGCAACCAAGAAAGGTTGTGATTGGAATGCATTAAAAATATTTGCATGAACTTGTGGGGGGGAATCCCTAATTTTGTATGATGTTTATATTCTGCCTCCAATATTCAGTTTTTAAAATAATACAGCATTTTCCCATAAGAAACAGCAGAACAACTTGATGTTTGATGATTGTATGTAGGTAAGATCCATGACAGAAAAAACAACAGAAGGTAGATGATTGTTACTCTGTACAGCTGCAAAGCTTTCTAACTGTAAAAGTGGTTGAGCAATGGAACAGACTGCCTCGGGAGGTGGTGGATGCTCCTTCGCTGGACGTTTTCAAGCGGAGGCTGGACGACCATCTTTCGGGTATGTTGTAGGCTATCTTTCGGCTATGCCCCTGCAGAGAGCAGGGGGTTGGACTAGATGACCTGCAAGGTCCCTTCCCACTCCAACATTCTATGATTCTATGAAAATGCTTACTGAATTTCTCAGACAGGGTGTGCTCCCCTCTGGCTTCTGCCTCCTCCTCTTCCTCATCGTACTCATCGTCAAAGAGTTGGGTGAGTTCGTCCCGCAGGATCGCCACGTGGGGGAGGGGGCGAATGATGGGACGGCGACCATTCAGGGCTTCGATTGATTCTCCGAGCACTATGCAAAGAGCAAATCATTTCCAATTAAAGCAGACCACTTAGAGGAGGATAAGAGGCAGCAAAGTCTGGAGGTCAGAACGGAGAAATGAATCACAAAATATAAAACCAAGTACAAAGTCTGGCCCCTGACAGCCTGGTGATCTATATGGGAGAACAGAGACTTACAACTACAGCTCCTTCGGTCGTCTTCCAGTTTGTATCCAGTCTGACAGCTGCACTGATAGGAACCCACCAGGTTCTGGCATGAGTGTTCACAGCCGGCATTATTTGAAGAGCATTCATCCACATCTTTGACATGGGAGGAAAGAAAGGTAAAAAAAAAATTAGCCTCCTGTTCTGGGGTAAAGGTAAAGGTTTTCCCTTGCTCGAAAGCCAGTCGAATCCGACTCTAGGGATGCAGTGCTCATCTCCGTTTCCAAGCCGAAGAGCCAGCGCTGTCCGAAGACGTTTCTTTGGTCATGTGGCCGGTATGACTAGATGCCAAGGTGCACTGGATGCTGTTACCTTCCCACTGAAGTGGTACCTATTTATCTACTTGCAATTTCTTGCTTTCAAACTGCTAGAGTGGCAGGAGCTGGGACCAGAGACAGGAGCTCACTCCGTCACGCGGCACTCGGGTCTCGAACTGCTGAGCTACCAGCCTTCCAGTCTGCAGTTCAGTGTCTTAACCACTTGAGCCACCACAGCCCTTTGTTCTGGGATAGGTTCCCCTTAAAGCATTTCACCGACTCTTGAGAAATCCCAGTGGTCATTACATTAAAAAGTCTTCTGGCAACCCAGAAATTCCCTTCCTGCACATCTGGATTAATTTCCAGAGTATGGCGATGCATAACGATGGCAAATTTCAGAAATGGAGGTTTGGGAATCAACTGAAAGGGTTAGAAAACAAGAGCCATGTCCCCAGTATCTCTATTTTGGGAATAAGGTGTAAAATGCATTCAGAAATGGAGGCAGTGACTCAGAAATCAACTGGCCTGCCTTGGACATCCCCAAACTCTGCTTGTCCAGGATGTATTAAAAAATACAGCTCCCAGAATTCCTGAGGACAACAGAGACTCCAAGTCTTCTAAACTTGCCCTACAGAAAGTTAGAAAGGGTAGGAGAGCCTCCTGCTTTTCACCAGCTCTATGGACAGCCGTTTCCCTGTCTCCCGAATGCTGTAGCTTTACAAGTTAGCGAAAGCGCATGAAGGGGAGAAGAAGGGAACTGGTAGATAAAGGGGCCAGCGATGCTGGTGGAACTCCCCTGTGCTGGATCTTTTTAAGCACTAGAATTCTTGGAAAAAATGCTGAGGTTTTTTTTTCCTGAGAACTGTCCAAAGACTCAAATAGAACATCCCATCTGGCTGAAAACAGCTGGGAATAGCTTCCTAACCACGGCTGGTGGGAGCAAGCCTATGAACAATGAACGATATCCCTAGGGTTGCCAACAGTGTTCCCTCTAAGCTGAGTTAGTGTGAGCTGGCTCACCGTTTTTTAGCCTCCAGCTCACACATTTTTTGTCTCGGCTCAGGGAGGAGGGCTCCAGAGCAAACGAATTTATGCAGGAGCCAAATCGCTCGCTCACCGCTTTAATGCCAGGAGCTCACAAAGTAGAATTTTGGCTCACGAGACTCCACAGCTTAGAGGGAGCATTGGTTGCCAACTATAGGTGGGAAGTTACTGGAGATTTGGGAGTGGAGTCTGGGGAAAGGGTGGAGTTTGGGGAGGGGAGAGACTGCAAAGCTCCACCCTCCAAAGCCGCCCTTTTTTCCAGGGGAGGCGATCCCTGTAAACTGGAGATCAGTTGTGATCAGTGTTCCCTCTAAGCTGAGTGAGTGTGAGCCAGCTCACAGTTTTTTAGCCTCCGGCTCACACATTTTTGTCTCGGCTCAGGAAGGACGGCTCCAGAGCAAACTAATTGATGCAGGAGCCAAATGGCTCGCTCACAACTTTAATGCCAGTAGCGGACAAAGTAGAATTTTCGGCTCACAAGACTCCACAGCTTAGAGGGAGCAGTGGTTGCGATTCCAAGAGAACTCCAGGCCCAACCAGGAGGCTGGCAACCAATGTTCCCTCTAAGCCGTAGAGTCTCGTGAGCAAAAATTCTACTTTGTGAGCTACTGGCATTAAAGTTGTGAGCGAGCGATTTGGCTGCTGCATAGATTAATTTGCTCTGGAACCCTCCTTCCTGAGCAGAGACAGAAATGTGTGAGCTGGAGGCTAAAAAACTGTGAGCTAGCTCACACTAACTCAGCTTAGAGGGAACACTGCTGGCAACCTGAGATACCCCCCCCCCCGCGCCTTCACAGACAGCATCTTGTAAGTTCATCCACTTTGCCTTGTTTTGTTCTTCGTGCACCAACACTAAGAAAAGGAAGCCCACGATGCTGGTTGTGTTTACAGCTCCCGAGGCTATGGATTGACCAGAAACTGAAACAAATAGAAGAATGCAGAGCTGCAGTTTCTGAGCCCCACGGTGGTCCCTCCTGCAGCAGCTGGAGCCCACGTGGGCACCCCTTCCTACCGTCACAGCTGCAGCCATCTGTGTTCAGGCGGTAGCCGGCGTAGCAAATGCACTCGTACCCTCCAGGGTAATT